GAACAATACTTTTCTCGGTTGTGACCAAATGCTTACAAACCTTTACATTGGAGCTCCAAGGTCTAAACCAGCAGTAGTTCTCAGTGGAGTTTTTTTTTTTTTTGCAAATGTGGACAAGGTTGGAAATCTATTGCTTTTCCTCCAATTTTTTCTTGTAAATTGTTCTTCATTTTTTGGTTGGTTTGTGAGTCACTTACAAGAAGCCTTCTCTCCCAAAGGTTTCTTCTTCCCTATAGGCTTTTCTTTGTTCACCAGCTTGTAGAGCATTATGAAAGCACATTCAAGGATATTTTTGTGACATGTTCCAAGTTTCTTCAAGAGAAAGAAATCTTGGTGCTTCAAATTTTTTCAGGGAGAGTCACCATAACTTTCTCCACAATTTCTCTATTCTCTTCTAACTCTTCTCCCAAAGGAATCGAATTTTGTTTACCAATTTTCATAACTCTATCACATAACTTCACCTTTTCAATTTTTCCTCATTTTCAACATTTTCAAATTCTTTTTCTTAAATTGAATATCTGCATTCTGTCTATTTTCAGATTCCATGATACTCAATTTTTAAACTTCTCCCAAGCTTCATGTGCCTGTCTCCACATGCATAATTCTTGGTGAAGATAGGATCTGCAATACAAGCTGCAATTGGATCTCCATCCGAGCTTTTTGGAAGCACTTAGCAACCTCTTCTTCATGTGTCTAATCTGCTAAGGGCTTGCTAATTTTTGATAATAGAGGTGGACGATATTATAGCTCTGTTTTCCTCCACATACTGCCATAATGCAAGCCCCTTAGGACAATAAGCTCTCATCATCTATCTCTTCAAACATGGATAGCTTTATTCCCCATATAAAATGAGAAAGTCGGTGAAATGAGACATGCTGCTGGAAGCACAATTTCTGGAAAAGCAATATTCATATAAACCAGAAAAACTTTCACAAATTCTGGTTTTATTTGGTGCTTTCTCTATGACTTTCACTCAAAACACACCACACAGCCCTTTTGGAGATCAAGGCTTGCTCTGATAACCACTTGTTTGGTTTGAGAGAGGAGCATGAAAATTAAGGTAAGAGAAGGAAATTCTGCAGAAAAATTGAAAAAAAAAGCTGTATGTTTTTTAATGTGAAGAAACCAAACCATATTCACTTCTTATTAATTCCATTACGCATAATGTTAAAACATTTATAGTTTAGAGCTAGTCTAAAGTTCTGTTCACCAACCTTCCATAAGTCAAGGAAGTTGTTCACCAAACCTACCTAAAAAGCAAGTAGTTCACCTACCTCTTGACTTCAACAAAATACAACAACAATCTAAATTGACTGTTAACAAGATTTCTCCAAAAACTGTCAACAACACTTGCATATCAATTTACAAAATCTAAATGACTTTAACAAGATTTCTCCAAAAACTGTCAACAACACTTGCATCAATTTTACTTCAATGGAGCTGTAACTGTAACTTTAACAATCGGGCTGTTGGGTTAGCAGTCGAACGACAGATCATTTAGTGGTGCTTATTGAAAGAGAAAGCAATCCGGGCAACTGAGGATTTGGATTTCCATGATCTAAATTTCTTTTTTCTAAAAATGATAGTAAGAATAATAATAATAATAATAATAATAATAATAACCACCTAGATTTTTCAGTTTTTCCTGTTCCTCTTCTAACAATACCTATAGCTATCCCAGCAACAACGCTAAACTAACCAGAACAAGAAATGGAGCACTCTGGCAGTTGTGATCAGACTACATGCTTGTTGAGTTCTGGTTTAAGAGGAAAATCAGGCAGAGTCAAAGGGTAACACGTAGTGTTCCAGGACTCCTCCTGCTCTATGGATGCACCTCCAGTTTTTGCTTTTAATTGTTCAAGACATCGCCGGGCTCTTACAAGTTCATATTCTGCATCTGGACTTGGTTCATGGCTTTCCCAGGCATCAATTACGCGCTCCTGAAATTCGATTGCAAGGGAATAGCTGCCATATCCAAGTTAAAAAAATGTTAGAACATTGTGTGACTAGAAGATTACACAGCAGTTAGCGTGTAATTAGAGCCACGGGTTCAGAATTACAAACAATTTAATACAATATGATTGAAATGAAACTGGAAATGTAAGAATCCGGAGAATCATCTCACCTTCCCATGGCACCATACGCTTTTGAGAGATTTTGACATGTCTGAATTGAATCTTTATGATGAGGACCAAGTGCCACGTCCAATATGTCTTTAGCGGCTGCAAACCTCTCTACCGCTGACTGTGGTCTATCCAGATCAAAATATGCAACTCCCAAATTGTCGTACATACAACCAACCGCAAAATGCTCAGAACCAAAGCACTGTTTAAACTTTTCTGCAGCACTCTCCAAGTAAGTAATGGCCTCAGGCAACTTACGATGACACAGAAGTAGGAATCCCATTTCAGCAGAAACACTTCCTTCGAAGTGCTGTTGTTGTGGGAGATTCTCAAGCATAGGAAGCATTCTCTTTAACAATGAAACTGCTCTTTCAGATTCAACCCTAAAACTATACTGCATTGCTAACTCCGAGTATGCCTCAACAGCTTTTACCAGGGAAACTGTCTCGTTGTTGGCAAGGATCCCACAAGCAATATCAAGACACCACTTCGAGTCAGTATACTTCTCCTTAATATGTAGATCTTCTGTCATAGAAATAAACATATTAAAAAACACCAATGCTCGAGTCTCACTGTCTTTTTCTGCGTGCTGAACAACCCCCTTCAAAGTGTCAATAGCCTCATCGTACTTGTGTAATGCTAGATGCATATTTGAAGTATCAATCTCTTCACGAAGCAAATCTGAACTAAGACCCAACTTCTTCAAAACCTTCTGTGACAACTGATTTTGCTCCAATGCTTTCTCATGTTCCTCCAACCCACTGTAAATGACACCAAGAAGCCTCCTATCATATGCAACCTCCACATAATACTTCCATACTGAACTCCTATGTATCTCCAACGCCTTCAAACCAAATGGTAATGCCTCCTTAAAATTCAAAACTGCAACATATGCCTCTGCCAGTTCCCTATGTGCCACAGCTAAATCGTTATTATCTTTGTCCAAAGTCATTTCCTTGATCTCTAAGGACATCTTAAGATTCTCTATAGCCTCCTCTCTCCTCCCCATTGCCGTTTTCACATTAGATAATTCATGCTGCACCGCATGCAGCATCGGCTTGATATCTTCTACATCAATATTTCCGTCCAAAACTAACCTAACCAATACCCTATTAGCCTTGTTTAAATAACCTAAACTATCATTAAACTTTTTTAACATATAACTAGCAGAACCCATGAATTGCAAAGCCATAGCAGCAAGTAAGGAAGGTTTACTATTATCTTTATCAAGAATCATTAATTGCAAAGCGATAGCAACAAGTAAGGCAGGTTCACTTTCAAGAACTTTCAAAGCTCTACTGGCAAAGGATAAAGTCTTTTCAGGGTCCTCACCTTCTTGGTCAAGTTTTAACCCAATTTTCAAAGAAGCCAAACCAAGCTCTTTCTCGTCAAGAGAAGCCTCCATTTCTTTAAAAGTTTGAAGCATCTCCTCAGCTGTCTCTGCAGACTCAAAAGTCTCTTCAAGTTCAGATTTTTCCTTGATTGTCCTCTGCCTGGAGGAGATTTGAGTATTTGTTTCTACAAGCGTGTCAATGTTTCGAGATGGGTTTGCTTGGAATTGTCGAGTTTTGAGGATTAGGCCATTAGTTCTGTTGCAGGGAATGAGATAATTGGCTGGTGAGTGGAGAGAAGAGGAAGAGGAGTGTGTGGAGTCAGAAATATAGTTTCTGGAAAGGAGAGGAATTAGTGTTTTGGTTTTCTGGCGAGAAAGGTGTGAGAGGAGAAATTGAAGCTCTTTTCATGATGGGTTTTGAGGTGCTTTGTGATATAAGTGCGAAACTGGCTTTCTCTTAAACCCTACGAAAACCCCAAATTCTTCGAATTTCTGTTTCTGATGCTCCGTTTTAGAGGCTTTTCGCGTATATAGCGTTTTGACTTGCTCAAAACGCTACCTCTAATATTTATATTAGAGTATGATGAAAGAACAGCTAATATTTGAAATGCGATGAACTTTTAGTGTTTAACTTCTGATGAAACACAACTATTAGAGTCTGGAGTTGATGGTATGCAATTATAAATATTAATGTAGAGGCAAATTGAAACAGGACAGTTAATTAAACTATGTCGCTTTGTAATAATAACACCTACAATTATCTCAGCGACAACGCTCTCTCTAATTCTCTCTTAGAAAAGGAAAAATCATGTTTCCAGTAATCAATATCAAATGCTTGATTCTCATACTCTGGCGGCGTTTTGTCCGTCCTGATGCACTAGCTAAGATTGGAATGTCTAAAGATCATGTCAAGACCACGCACAAGAAGCAGCAGCAAAATCAAGTCTATTCATCAAGAAACAGAATATTGCAATCACTGTATCTTGATGTTTGAGACAATTACAGATGGAAACAACCGTTGCAGGATGCCGTCTAAGGCTCTGCATTATGGCCCAGTTTGTTGTTGTCAGGTTCTTATGTCTAATTATCAACTAAGATTTGATCCTGACTTTTTCAAGCAAATTTTCTGCATATCTTTTTTAATTTCTTGTCAAGTGGTTTGATCTTTTACCGTTTCTTTATTTGAAAACCGAACACAAGAATTGAAATCTTGATTTTCAATGCCAAGAAGATTGTATCTACAGATTACAAGAAAAGTTCAAAGAGTGATTGTTTTCAATTAATCCCTATCACTTTCTTGTTAGTTGGTTTTGTTTTGGCGTAATTCAGTAATATCCATATCTCTTGTCATTTATCGAAGTGAACATCATAAAGATATTCCAGGTGGAATCAGTTTAAAAAAGAAGAATTGTGCAACTAAAAAAGAAGAATTTTGCAACTATACACAATATCCTCTCCCTCCCTGAGATACCTGAAGTTGACTCGTACCTAGCAAGCATTATTCCAGGTGTTATTTCCTAATGAAGTGATATGTAGCAAACGCATGACAACAAGACTTTTTTCTCAATTTCAGTGCACAAAAGTAATGTGAAACTCCAGAGACTCCTAAAACAGTCTAATTTCTGCAATCCTTGAATCGTCTTTCTGGTGTCCCAGGTGCAGCCATGAAAAAACACATCACAGCCCGTAAGCACAGATCAATACTGAATTAACCTCAGCGTCATACCATTTTTTTCTATCAAACATTCTTCAGTGCCTTGAATAACAAAAAGCCACTTGTGTTTGTGTATACATGAAAGTGATAATTCTTATACATGAGAGGGAGCGGGACCAAAAAAACATCACAGGCAGCAAGATACTCTTCCTAACATCAGAAGGAAATTAGAAAACAAACCAACCCAAACAAGAAATGGAGCACTCTGCCCGTTGTGATCAGACTATATGCTTGTTGACTTCTGGTTAAGAGGAATATCAGGCAGCAGGCTTCTGCCAGAGGGACTACTATGAGGCAAGGGCAAAGCCCTGGTAGGTAGCTGGTTTATGGATGCGCCTCGAGCTTTTGCTTTTAATTGTTCAAGTCGTCGCTGGGCTTCTAGAAGTTCATCTCGTGCACTTGGTCCATGGCTTTCCCAGGCGTCAATTACCTGCTGCTGAAATTCGATTGCAAGAGAATAGCTGCCATATCCAAGGAAAAAAAAAGTTAGAACATTTCAATGACCAAGACATCAGACAAATGTCAACTTTATATCCCGCTCAATTTCTTGCCACTTTGTTGCTGCCAAGATGAATGCAAATGGGCACATATACATGCATCTTTGCCAGAATGGCTGCTTATCAAAAACCAAAAATATGTTCCAAGAAATGCCCAAAATTATTAGTACAGTTAATTTTTTTTTTCTGATTTCAATAGACCAAGCCACTAGTTTGGGACTAAGGCTTAGTTGTTGTTGTTCGATTGACCAAGCCAGTGTTTCTGACCTTCTAAAAGTCTATTACTCCACTATGCGAAAACAAATGTTGAGAAGTTTGAAATATCAAGTATGGAACTCTTACACTAATGGACTTGTAAACAAGAAAAGATACAGCAAATACAAACCATTTTATATGTGAACAGAAAAGGAAGGTTTTTCTGTGGGGGACTGAAGGAAATAAGAAGAATTGAGTTCCGTTAGAAGCTTAATAATGAAGCACGTAGCCAACTTATGGTTGGGCTCCAAAGAGACAGATGAAGAGTAAAGAGTGTGCGTGTGTTTACTTTGTGGGCTAGTGTGTGTGTAATCTCAAGATTCACAAACCTAATGAAAAATATATGACCTTCCCATGGCAAAGGCTTCAAAGGGGAAGTGACTAGAAGATTACATAACAAAAGAGCAGTCAGTATGTCATTAGAGACATAGATTCAGAATTTGCAAACAATTTAAATACAATATGGTTGGAATGAGACTGGAAATGTAAGAACCCAGAGAATCATTCTCACCTTCCCATGGCACCATAAGCTTTTGAGAGATTTTGACATGCTTCGATTGAATCTGCATGATGAGGACCAAGTGCCACATCCATGATGTCTTTAGCGACTGCAAACATCTGTGCAGCTGACTGTGGTCTATCCAGTTCCAAATATGCAGCCCCCAGATTATTGTAGATAAACCCAACTCCAAAATGCTTAGAACCAAAGCACTCTTTCAACCTTTCTGCAGCACTCTCCAAGTAAGGAATCGCCTGAGGCACCTTACCTGTCAACAGAAGTAACCACCCAATTCTAGCAGAAACACTTCCTTCAGAGTGCTGTTCTTGTGGGAGCTTCTCAAGCATAGAAAGTGTTCTCTTTAACAACGAAATTGCTGTTTCGAATTCATTCATAGTTTCATACTGCATTGCTATCTCTGAGTATGCCTCAGCAACTTCAACTGGGGAAACTGTCTCTTTCTTGTCAAGGATCCCACAAGCAATCTCAAGACACCTCTTCGAGTCAGCAAACTTCTCTTGATTACATAGAGCTTTTGCCATAGAAATAAACACCAATGCTCGAGTCTCACCGTCTTTTTCTGTGTACTGAACAACACCCTTCAAAGTATCAATAGCCTCATCATACCTGCCCAAAGCTATATGCATATTTGATGCATCAATCTCTGCACGAAGCAAATCTGAACTAAGACCCCAATTCTTCAAAACCTTCTGTGACAACTGATTTTGCTCCAATGCTTTCTCATGTTCCTCCAACCCACTGTAAATGACACCAAGAAGCCTCCTATCATATGCAACTTCCACAGAATTATTCCCTAATCCACTCCTATGTATCTCCAACGCTTTCAAACCAAATGGCAATGCCTCCTTAAAATTCAAAACTGCAACATATGCCTCTGCCAATTCCCTATGTGCCACACCCAATTCCTTACTATCTTTCTCCAAAGTCATTTCCTTGATCTCTAAGCACGTCCTAAGATTCTCTAAACCCTCCTCTCTCCTCCCCATTGCTGTTTTCACATTAGATAATTCAAGCTGCACTGCATGCAGCACCGGCTTGATATCGTCTACATCAATATTTCCTTCCGCCTCTAACCTTACCAATACCCTATTAGCCCTGTTTAAATAACCTAAACTATCATTAAACCTTTTTAAGCTATAATTAGCGGAACCCATTAATTGCAAAGCCATAGCAACAAGTAGGGAAGGTTTACTATTATCTTTATCAAGAACTTTCAAAGCTCTACTTGCAAAAGATAAAGTCTTTTCAGGGTCCTCACCTTCTTGGTCAAGTTTTAACCCAATTTTCAAAGAAGCCAAACCAAGCTCTTTCTCATCGAAAGAAGCCTCCATTTCTTTAAAAGCTTGAAGCATCTCCTCAGCTGTCTCTGCAGACTCAAAAGTCTCTTCAAGTTCAGATTTTTCGTTGATTTTCCTCTGCCTAGAGGAGATTTGAGTATTTGTTTCAACAAGCGTGTCAATGTTTCTAGATGGGCTCGCTTGGAATTGTCGAGTTTTGAGGATTAGGCCAGTAGTTTTGGTGCAGGGAATGAGATAATTGGTTGATGAGTGGAAAGAAGAGGAAGAGGAGTGTGTAGAGTCAGAAATATAGTTTCTGGAAAGGAGAGAAGTTAGTGTCTTGGTTTTCTGGCGAGAAAGGTGAGAGAAAAGAGAAATTGAAGCTCTTTTCATGATGGGTTTTGACGAGCTTTGTGATATATGTGCGGAAGTAGCTTTCTTTATGATTTGTTGTTGATCCTGTTAAACCCTAACAAAACCCCAAATTCTTCAAGGTTTTTGATTTTCTGTTTCTGGATGCTCCGTCTTGATAAGCGATTATGTGCATTGATGTAGGAGAATATTGAGAGAAGACAGTTAGTCAAACCATGTCGTTTTATTAAAAAAACAAAAAATCCTAATCGGGCTGTTGGGCTAGCAGTCCAATGACGTGTCGTTTAATGGTGCTTATTGAAAGAAAGTACTCCTGTTCCTCCTTATCTCATTAACAACGCTCTCTTTAACTCTCTTAGAAAACGAAAAATCATGTTTCTAATAACCAATATAAAATACTTGATTCTCGTATTGTTGAAGCGTTTTGTCTGTCCTGATGCCGCAGCTAATCTTGGAATGTCAAAACAAGTTCAACATCCAAGTATGGCGAAAGATTCATCAAGGAACAGAATATTGCAATCAGAGTATCATATTATTTGAGACACTTAATGATGGAAGCAATCTTTGCAGGATGTCGTCTAAGGCTCTGCATTATTCCCTAGTTTGCTGTTGTCAGGTTCTTCGTCTAATTATCAACTAAGAGTTGATACTGACCTTTTTCAAGCAAATTTTCTGCACTTCTTTAATTTCTTGTCAAGTGGTTTGATCTTTTTATCATTTCTTCTGCGAATTTTAAATGTAAATTTGAAAAGCGAATACAAGAATTGAAAAATATTCAAACATGTTGCAATTCTATCAGCACCAACTGAAAATTTTCCTTTTTCTTGTAAGAAAAATAATAAAAGATAAAAAAAAAAAAAAAAAGAGAAAAAAAGGATTAAAGCAGGGCATCCTTTTAAATGTCCAGTTCAAAATCATTGATATATAATGGTCCACAGTCCAGGGAACCTAAACCACCCCACAAATAGGAAACCAAAGAAAAGAATAAAATGAATGTTAATCAGATTCGAAATGTATCAATGGATTGTAATGGTTTTTACAGGGGAGGCTTACAATGACTGGAATGTAAAACCTTTAAATTGACTTGAGGCCTATTTCAGAATCTAAACCTCATAATGAATATATATACAACAAAGAATACAGAGTTTCCTTTTTATACAAACAAAATTAATCGATTCATTCTTGGAAACCTGTATGCAACCCACATATTTGAAAACAATAACCTCTAAACAAACTTAAAAAGAGGTAATTGACAGTCAAATTCAAAAGCTTGGAGGCTCTCGATATTCAGTGGGAGTCTCAGGTGGTCTGCTATAAATATCATCAAAATGGAGATTTACTTCTCCTACTTCTAGATCATCATGCATATATGCAGTCCGTGATAACCTGTTAGCAATCCCCCAACTGAAATGGTTTTCTTGCTCCTCTAAGCTTCTATCTGAAATATTATCATAATAATTATCTGAAGTAAAGCGGTTAAAATCAGGAGGTTCCATAAAACTTGTTTGGGGATGTGTGCCAGGTCGGCCGCTTCTAGCCCACCAATGGCTCCTAGTTGAATGTGCAAAGTTGCTGGAATCATGTTGATGAAGTACACTCTCCCGAAAGAAAGGAGTAGATGTAGATGCCTCTAAGTGTGAACCTATTCGATCTTCACTGCGGTTATGCCAGTAGTCATCATCACATCTAACATCATTTTGTGTCAATTTGGTTCGCATCCAATAGTCTTCATGATGTTGCTCAGTTGCTTCAAACGGTCCTGCTGGATTATTTCTTGTATGATTAGTGGAAGAATGAGGGCGGGAAGTGTAGTACCAATCGAGAAGATATGGATGATTCTTTTGGTCTTCATCAATTAGCCACAAAGAACCTAAATGAAATCCCGGAGTACCATATGGATCCCTAGATAAAGGAGAATTTCTAATCCCAGGGCCTCTCAGATTGGGGCTTCCTTGCCACGTTCTAGGAGGAGAATATGCATGTCTAATTGTGTGCCCTTGCAACTTTTGCTCCCTGAAATTTCTAAGGTTTGACAAAAATTGCTTTCCCTGATCATTAGGTTCCCATGAAGGATAGCTGCTTTGAAAACTGCAACAAACAGAATTATGCACCAGTAAGAAATTGTTCAAACTAAACAATTAGCCTGGAGACAAAGAAGAAAATATCAAAGTGCATTTGAAGCTCAGGACACAGAACAATCTACAATAAATGCAAAAGTAAAATTGTTAATGCCATTGATTACAGAATCAACAAAAAAAAAAAAAAAAAAAAAAAAAAAAGCACAGTAAGGAAATTTGTTCAAACTAACAATTAGCCTTGAGACAAAGAGCATATCCAGAAGTGCAGTTTGAAGCTCAGGAACACAGAAAATCTTGACAATAAATGGGCAACAAGCTAAAATGTGGTTACTGGCCATTGATTACAGACAATCAACCAAAAAAAAAAACAAAAAAAAAAAACAACAGTCGCGTCGCGCCGTGTTGGCAAACCAATAGGTTTCATTTATCAAACACTACATCAAAATTTTCAAGGCAAAGCAAGTCATGATGGGCAATTATGCCATTTCCAGCCACAATCCAATGGGTTGCTGGGAAGCACCACTGCGAGCAATTTACTATACTGGTTGCCTATTGTAAATGTGTCTTGATTACGCATGGATCAATATAATTCTTGTGTTCAAAGGCCCCCGAATGGCGACTATTGTAATATATGACCCAGGAAGCGACCAAAACCATCTACTTGTGAAGTTTTTGAGCAAAATTTCGTTCAAATTATATCATCAACTAGCAGAGTTTTTTTTCGTTCGCATTATATCAATTTACTATTTCATGCATTGACAAAAAAAGGCTATTCTACTTGAAATTATAAAAGTACGACCAACGAATTCTATCTGAGACTTGATTTTAGGCAAAATTTTATGGAGAAGAAGTGAACCATTGAGATAGTCGCTGGTATATGCGTGCATCTTGCCAGACCAACGCAAATGCCAAAAAAAAAAAAAAAAAAAAAAAAAAAAGTGGTCCCTTGCAAACCATAGGGTCATTTATCAAACATACATCAAAATTTTCAAGCAGAAGTCATGATGGGAATTATCATTTCAGACCACATCCAATGGGTTCTGGAAGCACCACTGAGATTTACTATATGGTTGCTATTGTAAATGTTCTTGATTAGCATGGATCATATAATTCTTTTCTCAAAGGCCCCAATGGCCTATTGTATATATGACCCAGAAGCACCAAAACCAATCTATTGTGAAGTTTTGAGCAAAATTTTCAATTATATCATCAACTACAGAGTTTTTCGGTCAATTATATCAATTTACTATTTCATGATTGACAAAAAGCTATTTACTTGAAATTATAATACCAACATTTTATCTAACTTGATTTAGGAAATTTATGAGAGAAATGAAATTGAGATAGTCTGGATATGTGCATTGCAGACCAGCAAATGCACCAATACAGAAAGTTAAACATACTAAAGAAAAGAAAGTGGAGGACAGACATGTGTTGACATAAGAGGTAGAGCAAAAATGATTTGATAGCATCTCGATCTTCTTGAAGAGATAACCCCTAAACTGGAGAAAATGTGGAAATACATCCATATAGCCAACCCAAGTAGTTTGGGATTAACACTAAATTTAGTTGCATTAAAATGTTGACATGAAAAATACAATTTTTTTGCTCTACTTTTTTGCTTTTCAGAATTTTGTAATTGTCTAATTTCAGATATATATATATATATATACACAGAGAGAGAGAGAGAGAGAGAGAGAGAGAGAGAATAGTCTATCAAGAAAGCTTTTAACTAAGAAGTAGCTTCCTTAAGCCACTAATTAGAGCAAGCAGCACATCGTTGTTGAGTGCATAAAAAGCATCTTGAGTTAACTATTTACATAAAAAAGAAGCACAAACACACAAGGTTTGAAAAAATTCTAACCAAAATTTATTTGATTCATGAAATTGAATGGAAATAAGGAAATAAATAACTATTCTTAACTTCGGTTCAAATTTTTAAATATGGAACAATTTTATTTCATTATCTCAAATTTCTAGTGAATTTTCAATTTTCAATGATTATAATATAAAATACTATTTCAAAAATTTGTGGAACTTGAGTTCTACACAGGTGAAACATAAGTATTCTATTCCATGGACAAATGAAGCAATAAGTGGACACTGTTATAATCATAACGTACCTCAAAAAGGACTTCTCCATCTTGCCCTGAGAGCTCCTTTGGATGTGCTCTGTATGATAAGGAGAACCATAATTGCTATTGCCATGGTTTTGAAAATCAAAAGCACTAAAACTGCCAAAAATCAGTTAGTCAATCATTAAGCGTTATTAAAACAAAACAAAGCCGATAAGTTGCTCACTGTTAAAACCCCAAAATCAATGAATAATAGACTAACCAGCACACATGGCCAACACCTTCAACATTCACTGTAAAATCTGCAATAAACTGTAAGATGTCATCTACCCGCTGCAAAATAACAAAGGACACCAGTTAAAACACTAGCATATGCATGTGTGATGAAGATAGTAAGATGAATAGTCTGTGAAAGATGACGAAAGTACCTTTGGGACAACAAATAAAAGCAAAAAAGGGGTGAGGAAAATCGATGCCATCTCCTCGAGTAACATCATCCCAGTATACTACAGCACAAAATAGCAAACAGTAAGTGAAAAACAGTTCAAAACTCCTTATCATGTAGATGATGGAGAGGCTGGGGTGCAGGGAAGGTCTCAGCATCATTCAAGTGAATCTCACATATAACAAACGGACTTGCTACGGTATTACCTGAAACAGGGTTTCAAATTCTATCCGGACAATCTCAGTATTTTCTTTCCCACGCCATCTCTTTGGCATATAATGTGTATGTTGGACCACCATAGACATAGCCCCTTCTGGATCAAGGACAAGGAGTTCATCTGCTATTGCGGCCCGGCTGATGGCTGTTATTGTTCCGAACACAGCAGCATACCAGAATAAATTACGACCAAATATCTACAGAAATAAATAATAAAAAAAGGTCATAAAACCAAAAGTTGAAGTAGTAAAGGTCACCATGATAATATGCATATCATCAAATGACTTTATGTTAGTAATGTGAGAAAATATTACATGGCCCTCTAGCAGAGATTCCTCCAGAAATGCAATGATGATCAGGATAGCAGCAAAGCCACCAGAAACAAAAGATATAAACTTAGCAATAATTGAGATAATGGGTGAGGGGAATTGCTTCAGATAGTCTGAGGCATGCATTATACTTCCATTGATACGGTGCTTGAACAGATGGTCAACCTGCAATGCAATAATCATCTTGTAATTACTGAACAGTTCCAGTGGGTTTTATATGTGTGAAATGAATAGAAAATGAAACAAACTGATCTTTTACTGAAGTAAACCTACATTACAGAAACGAAAGCAAACTTCCTCAAAAGAAATACAGGTACAATCTAACACACCAAAGGCGCACATCACACACATCACACACACACACACACACACACACACAATACATAGAGTGTTAGGCAAGCAAAGGTTCACTTGTAAATGATTAGCAACATTCAATGATATATCTTCTCTTCAATGAAATCACATCAACCAAGTTAAGCACAATTTTGAGTTGGAAAATTTCAGTTCTAGAAAAACGCTGAACAACACCAACTATGCCTTAATCCCAAAACTAGTTGAGATTGACTATATGAATCCTTTGTTTCCATTCCTCTCTGTCCAAAGCTAAGTACACAGTTCTAGAAAAAGACTAACCGCCACAACAAATTCATATCAAGAAATTTTGTCAGTTTAAGTAAAGTAATAATCAGCATACAAAATAGCAAGAACTACTTCAAATATCAAAGATAGACATATTGATCAAGTTTTAAAAACTGGCAGATAATACCCATATTAATTTAAGCACCAGTAAAGAAACCCCCCACTTGATCTTAGTAAGGAAGCAAAAGGAAAACACTTGTACCTCATTGAATTCCCTAAAAATCCATTTAGACAAATTTGACCATCTTCGAGATGATGCTGTGCTTGGATGATTATAAAATTGTTCAGCATGCCTTAGGAAGAGATACACAAGCATGAAAATAACCAGAAATGGTGAAAGAAGAAGCATTGCAACCCCAACTACCATAAGCCTTTTCTTTAAGGTTTTAGGATTAGAAATAAAGTCCCTCCTAACACAAAAGTTTCTGCAGCAAAAAATGAATTCCAATCAGAAAATAGTGCACATGGTCTGCAAATAGTTAAATAATCCTGTTCAATTAGCTTACCGATCAAACATGCTTTGCAATATGCACCAATTTAAGGTCCATTCAAGGGTCTTTGTCAGCATCAGGCGGTAATGTGTTCCATTTGAACCAGATTTGACAGTTGGACCAGCTCCTGGAATCCATGGAGAGATTGGAAAAGCAAGCACTCCTTTATTGAGCATTCCAATTAAGTAGTTCTCCTTCCGCATCAGGCGCATCACCACATCATGTGCAGAGAGGTCTTTGACCACACAGAGTTGCTGTGAACATTGCAAGTGTACAACCTTTTCAAGGATTGTAGCCCATGGCATGGTTTGAATCTCGCTGTCCGTAACATGGAGACTGCAAGAAAGATAATCACCTTGCTCATTAGAACATCCACAAAATCACTAAATCAAAAGGCTTGTTTAAGATGTGTTTCCAACAATTTTAAGTAGAACAAAACAAGCATACCTGTTGTAATAGAAGTGACGGATCCCAAGAATGTCCCTTAATTGTGCAAAGAATCTCAAAAAACAGAAGATCCAATAGATAGAAAATAATCCCAAATATCCAACAATAACAGCTTTTGAAAGTGTTAGAGGGGTTAAAGGGTGTTCATGAAGAGCTTCTTTACCGAGATCACAGGGCTTGATTCCAGATTCAACCGCATCCATACCACATTTAGCATTACGAAGACCATTCCAATCAACATATAATAAGAAAAATCCCGAAAAACAAATAGTGAAACCAAGACTTAGAAGTTCAACAATCCACTTTATAATAATGCACCAAAGCCCTTTCTCACAGTAGTAACTGTATAGCCTTTCAAAGAACAGGTCCAAATCAGCAATTGGTTCCACATTCAAGCTTTCACCATTAAGAAGTCCCGAAGGACTCTCACTACCAGGACTTGGTACCCTTCCATAGTCAGACAATTCAATTTCTGGAGGAACATCTTTAAGCAAGCCTGTTGTCAAAGTCGATTCACCATGCGATCTCCATTTAAATATGCTGAGAGCATTAGAAGCCTTCTGCCTACCGAACATCATTCACAAAATGTAACAGTAGGTAAAGACAGCCAGTCCATCCCCCAAACGACGTATGTTTTTATGTGAAATTTCTGCAAATAATGGAAAAATAAGATTTAATCACACATTAATCCAAGCTATGTATAAGATCAGACAAAGTTCAGTTCTTTTTATAATCAATATCGTCACTATCACCATTATCATCAATATGAAAGCCCTTAGGCTTGTTATCCAGGAACTTGTTCAGATACATCATGGTACGGGATTGTTTGGACTACATGAACAAATCAGATTTTCGAAGCTCATCCTCTTTATTATAAATGATCTGCTTGCCCCAAAATGACCTGGCCCAATAGGGAAATCCCAATTTCGTCCAAGAACCAAGAGTTGGAAGCTTGGAAGGCTGATGTTACATTCTATACCACTTACATTGCATGAATGCAAACTACCAGAATAAATAATAAAAAATTCCAACTTCTCATTCTGTCATTCAAGATCACACTTATAAAATAGAAACAAGAGACCATTGGATTTGAAGATACAACACATTCACAACAACTTACCAAGTCAGCATATAAAAAATGCAAGCAGAAGTGTAGAATGAAGCTAATTATCTAAACACGAAAGCCACATGTTCCGCTTCAACTATCGTCTATTATGATCATACTAAATTTGGCCAGTCCATCTTACCCCTTCTACGTAGACAATTGTAGTTACTAACCAAGTCCCAAACAGTTCAATATGGGGTCAATAAACAAAGAACTAAGGCCATTTATTCAAGTTGTCCACTTCATATTGAGTTAATCGACTATTATCCACGCCCCATAATAATTCTTATAAAGATGATAAAAAAAAAATCGATGCGCTGAGTCCTATAACATTGTCAAGTCATGGTATCATTCTGAAAGATCAAGTATGTTTAACGTCTTAAATCTATACCCACACAATCCCTTTCAGTTAATCGGAAAACAGGATGCCAGAACAATATTTTAAGCATACTAGCAAGATCCAGTTATCGAATGTGCACCTTTTCATCTGCCAAAGCTTAAGTCTGGGAATCCAATCAAGTTTTAGTCTGGCTGCAATAAAATTTGGACTTACTCTGTTGTACTGCAAAAACAGTAGCAAAAGGGATTTACTCCATGTGTTAAGAGAAAACAAATAATACATGCAAACATAAAAACTACTTTCAAGAACATTATTAAAGACTACTAAATTTTCTAATCTATCTGATACTGTATAAAAGGCTCAATAAGGAATTGAGATTCAATTATCACATCTTATTGTCCACAAGTGAAGGTCAGTCTCATTTACTCAGTTCCTCAAAACCCGTTTGAATCTCTATCCAATAGTTATAGTGAATTACCACCAGTCAAATTCAGCAGACTTCATAGCACACAAAACACTTACCACTAACCACTAGCATAATCGCTATCACCTTCCACCTAAGTTTCTCTGCATGATGCCTACTGCAATAGTCTATTGATATAAACCAGTGAGGTTGCCGCAGGTGAACCTTTGAACATCTCATGCACTACATCAAAATTATAAATTTAACTTACTTGACGTTTTTTTCCACTCACATTACCCATCATACAGACTGTATACTTCCCAATGCCACTATATCTCGTCATATCCAGTCCTCTTTAACATTAAAGAATCCTACTACAACAAGTATTAAAAATATCCTACTACAACAGGAAAAGAACATTGTTTAGACTTTCATAAGCTCATCTGTAAACATGCTAAATAAAGCCGCAACTAAATTCTTAAAATTCAAACATGGTATAAGTAACTAATTGGATGACAATATGTACACAAACTGGATTATAACATTTCCTTTCTAAGATTCAACTTAATACATGAAAGAAGGTAATAACGAGAGCACTTTCTGCACACTGCAAAAACAACTCTGCTTTTTAGATAGAGACTAGTTAGGTTCAGTAATCAGTTAGCTAGAGGCAAGCAATATAACAGTTTGGGGTATCAGATATGTTCATAAAACCTCAATCAAAATAAGACCTTTTCTCTGAGTAGACATCACAAATTCATACACCTCTAAATAAAGCAAAAACCAGAAAAAGGTAACGTATTTAAGCGGGTGGGCGTTCATTGTCTACGAAAATTGAATCTTTGCATTGATCACTCGTTAAAGAAACCTTTCTCGATCCTGAAGTGTGATGCGAAGCTTCATTTGAACTGAAGTCGAAATCGTCCTGGTTAAGTATAATATGATGTCGCAAATATAGGTAGAATTCAAAAGCATTTAACCATAAGCATATTAAATTAAGACTCAACTAAATTCTGACAATTCAATCATGGCATAAATAATTATCAGATGGCAGTATCTACACAAAATTGGATTATAACATTTCCTTTTAATAATGAACTTGTACAAGAAAGAAGGTAATAAGGAGAGTGCTCTCTACACACTGCTGTAACAACCTCTACTTGCTAAATATGTGTATTACCCCCAGCCCATACTAATCACTTCAACCGAAGAAAGCTCAAATTTTTTTGGGCACTGGATAGAGACTAGTTAGATTCACTAATCAGTTAGCTACAGCCAAGCAATGTAACAGTTTAGGCTATCATACGTGTTTCATAAAACCTCGATTAAGATAATAATCTTTTCAATGAGTAGACATCGCAGATTCATAAGTAAATCAAACCCCAGAAACAGGTAACGTATTTAACTGGGCGAATTTTCATTGCCTATAAAAATTAAATATTTGCATTGATCACATATACTTAGTTACCTACAATTCAAAAGCACAAGTACTTACCACCGTCTTCAACTCCTAAAAGCTTCTAAACACAAATTGAGCTAACATTAGAAAATCAGAAGTCAACCGCAATTGAAAAATATCAATTAGAATCAAAGAAACCCTCAAGGCGTAAAATTTATAGTTACCATCTAAAACCATAAAATTAAAAATTTTAAAAAAGTAGCATTGTTAAGTAGGACAGACCGTGAAAGCTTAACTAATTAATTTGCGAAAAAATAAAAAATTTAAAAAAAAAAAACGAAATTACCTGCGACCCAGCTGAGAACAAGTTCTGAATACAACAAAAGCTTACGAATTTTCTTATGCAAAATAAAATTTATTGCACTTTAGTCGAGAAGAAGAAAGGAATTAGATGATTAGGAGAAAAGAGGAGGCGCTTTTATCAAAGATAAGTTGAAGCGGTGAATAATTGATAAAATTTATTGTGCAGAAACCGAAGAGAAGGAGAAAAGAAAAAGGGGGTGTCTGGTTGCGTGAAGGAAAAAGGAAATTTTTGCAGAATTTATGTCCATCTAATTAGGAATTTTAGTACAGATAAAGAAAAACAAAATTCAGTCATCGTTTGTGAAGATTGTACAGAAGGATACGTGAACTTGAGTAATTCCTTCTCTTTTTTTTTTATATTTTTATTTAAGTTTTTGGGGAAAATTTATTAAGAAAAAGTTTAACAAGGAAAAGTTATTAATAATTAAAATATGTTATGTAAGCCTTGGCGGTGAAGCAGACGATCTCAATGAATCTGTTTATTAATTTTCAAGTTTATTTAAAAATAAACAAAAAAAAAAAAACATTTACTAAATTTGGAATATAACTCCTTTTTAGTGCTTTTAATAAAATAAGGATCACAACAAGTTAAATATCCATATATGCTTCACAATATTATGAAAATATTTTTTTGTTTGATTATTTACTTTTAACTTTTTAATTTAAAATATATTTTTAATTGATATTCAATCTAGAAATAAATTTTTTCCTACTCGATTTAATTTTTATTAAATTAAAAAGTCATAAATTTATCAAAAAAAAAAAAGCTAAAAATTGAATTGATTCTGCTTGATTCAATAAATTAATTAGTACACTTCAATTTTCATCTTAAAAAATTTATATCATTATTAAAATAAATTTAATTTACTCATTGTCATAATACTATCTATCTATATAAATATATAATTTTAAGGCTTAAATATTTATGTGACAACATATTAGAATATGAAACTGATAACGTGGCATTTTATTTTTTCATTATAATTAATATTTTTTATCTAATAAAAATTAATCTTTTATGAAATAATGGAGTTACAAACTAATAATAAATATTGAGTTTTTTATTAAATAATTTTTATCTATAAAAAAAACTAACGGAGTTATATTAGCATCATAATTAATAAAAATGAATTAAATAATACAGTTACATTAAGGAATATAATTAAAATATTAATTTCAATTCACTAAAAATTTATTTCATTCAAATTAAATATTTTTATACCTCATCTAATTTAAATATATGAAAATTTTAAAGTGAAAAAAATAATTAATTAACTATATCACTTGAATTACAATAATTTACTGACAATGATTAATTGTGCTAATTAATATTTCAGTCCATTTTTTGATAATTTTAGATAAAGGCTTATAAGTTAACTTTTATTTTTTAATTAAAAATAAATAAGTAAATTATTTAAATTGAAGCAACACAAATATAAATTACAATAATTTTTTTAAAAATCATATTTAATTTAAAATATAAAATTATACTGTACATGATTAATTCTCATAATACAAATAGATAATATTAGTTTCATGTTTGAACTTATAATTTTTTTACTATTTTAATATCTCAATGGAAAAAATTTATTAATCAAGTTTATGGACTTTTAATCTTTTTTAATTTAACACCATATTCCAAGGAGTTGCCACATTGGCATCATGACATGTATTAAACATCATGCTGAATAAGAAATATAGTAAAACATAAAAATGTTAACGTGACATTTATTTTTTCATTATAATTTTTTTTGAAATGATTTTTTATTATAATTAATCCTTTTTATATTTAATAAGCATTCACTTTTTTATTAAATAATGAATTACAAACTAACGAAATCTAATGGATTTATAATTAATAAATATTAATTAAACAATGGAATCATAGTAATATTATGGTGCACTAATAGAACTAAAATATAATTTTCAATTCACTATTATAATTAATATTTACCGATTGTGATTAATTTGGCAATATAGGCTAGATATGTGAGAGAGCTATCCGGTTCAGACTAAATATACCTGTTGAGAGGAACGAAAAGTCTTAATTATGACTAATCTTCATGTTGAATTTATTCGATCCCTGTTAATAGGATCCGGATACCGATAATTTAAAAAAATAATAATAATAAATTAATAATCTTTTGAATATACCAAAATCCAAACAAAGAAACGTAAATATCAATTGAATTACAAAAAGAGCCAGCATATAACAGCACATATTATCATTTATGCAAAATATATAAGAAAATTATTTAAATTATATGTCGCAGTAACTTAAAAATTACCATTCAAATCAATTAAAAAGTATAAATCATACAATTTGAGCATCGCGTGGCTATATAATTAGTTACAATATAAAGTTGATGAACAACTTTTTATATTTTCAAAAAACTAAATAAATAATATTTGTTCAAATCTATATTATATAAAAAATTCATTATTTATTTGTTATCATATCTTTAATTTTATCACGTGGTATTTAGAAGATCAAATATGTAAAAATTTTAATACTTAGTTCACTAAAAATTTAAAAACATTAGCCCAATCAAAATTATTCATAGCTTGACCTATTATTGAAGAAACCTTAATCTTTATCGCTTAGACCAATCATCATTGCTTTTTTTACATTAATAATTATATAGTAACACACCTACAGAGAGAGTCGAAGCCGAATTAGGTAGCCTGATAATAGGTTTTGGATATTGGTGATTTATAGAAAAAAATATTTACAGTAAAAAAAAAGAAAAATTCTCATATAGGATTAATAAATCTCAAATTTGCTAATGTTAATAAATATTGAGTGTTTTAGTGGGATTTTGTATTTTTTTTTAAACTGTATTTTCTCTCCTTTTATTGAGTTCTTCAAATTTGAATGTGTTTCCTTATAGAGTTAGTAGTGTTGTTTATTTTTCCATTAAACTATTTGGTATGATATGATTAATATTTTTTATTGGAATATAGAAGTTTTTATTTTTTTTTATTTAAGGTTTTTATGCAAAAACAAAAACCATTTTTGGCAAATCTTGAAGTTTTAAAATATTCCTGAGAAAAACAAAAGTTGCCTCCTCGTTCGAAAGTTTGCTTATATACTCCTTTCTCGGCGTTGTCTCCAACTGTTGTTCGTTTGACCTTAGTGGGCTGGCAATTCTGGCTATTAGGCCCAATCACCCAACCCAAGTATAGAAACCGCGGGAGGCAACCACTCGATTTGGCGGGAATTATGACGTGGCAAAGCTCCAACTCAGCATTCCGCGCCAAAAACCCTACTATATACTTTATCTCCTTTAACTTTCCCTCTAAATCCAACATAACTGTATCAGCCAAAAATGAACTCTTCGCGCTCTTCTATGGCGTCGCCGTCGATTCCTTTTAAATCAAAGAAACCACTCCAATCAACCCCAAAATCCAAATCCGCCGCCGCTGCAAACCCAATTACCACCCAAACACCGGACAAGCCTCCGGTGGGTCTCTCTTCCCGCCTCAGGAACAGCCGGGTAGCTCTAACGGTAAAAGAGGTGCGTAGAGTTGCTCAAGGTACTCGAGATCCACCCCTCAGTAATCAGACTGACCAGATCGTCAAATCCGCCCGACGACAGATCTCGTCTTGGCCCGAGGAATCATCAACCTGCAAGTCGCACAGGCAACGCAATGCTACCGTTGATGAAGGCTCCGCTAAGATTCCGGCGGAGTAAGATTTTTCTTTCTCTCAAGTATGGTTGGAATCCGGGCCAGATCCAATGACCGGAATCCCAGTTTATTACTTTTTCTTATTGGTATTTTATTTTTGGCAGGTATGAGATGTTGGGTGAGTTTTTCGATAGCTTGGACAGTACAATTCGATTGTTGCGATTAAAGGGTTCAACGTCTACTTTCACTAATATTAGCCCCAAAATCGAGTGTTTAACGGACAGGTACATGCTTTGCTTACCTACTTATAGTTTCTGGTTTAGTACAATGAATAATGGCGGGTATAATTTTAATGGATATGTTTGGCTTATGGTGTTTAATTTATAGGAGATTTTCTCATCGACATTTGGCTCAACTGAAGTATATATTACCCGAAGCGATTGAAATAAAGAGGGTACTCATGTTTGATGAGCGAACTAGTTGTATGAAGCCAGATCTTCATGTAACTGTAGACGTTGATGCAATTGAATCTGATGAGAATTTGAAATCAGAAAGTAATAAGAATCTTCATCTGAGGAAGGTCTTTCGTGCTCGTCTTGCAGATTTTTATAAAGCTCACCCTGAGGTATATATTACGTAGTAATTGATGCTTTGTTTTTGTTGGTTTTGATTTTGTTTCAAGTTTAAATTCATAATTTACTGTATTTTATAACGTTAGGGTTTTTGCCTGTGATCTTATTTTTGATATGATCTCAAACGCAAGCTTTCTTAAGGCATTAGGATATGGTTAGCTGACATTAGCAATTTTTTCAATCACGTTAACAAGGAAGGAGAGATTTTAGTACATGATTAAGTAGTACAATTTGATTTTTCAATTTTCAACTATTCACAATTTGCTTGATGTTATTGGGTAATGATGCTTAAAAATATTTACTATTTATCTCTAGCTATTGAATTCGGTAGTTTCGGGGTGAGTAATCTGCAGATACTTATTCACTTTACTTTTGCTTCTAAAATGTTTTGGCCTAAATAATAATTCTGTTGCATACAGGGTGATGAAATTCCTGAAGCTATGCTGCCCGAGCCATTTAATCGATCAAAGCAACCTGCAGTGGAGAGTAATACACTTGAGACTAATGTAAATGTAGGCCATGGATCCAACTCCTCATCCCCAGTAGAGACCGGGACACTTGAGAAACATCAACCAGCCGCAGTGGCATCTCATTTGTCGCAATCTTTCAAGAAGCGCTTCTCCCAGAAAGTTGCAAAAAGTGAATCAGAAAATGCTTGTATTTATTCTCCAATGACTTGCTCGCGGCAATCAATTTCCCCAGTTCTGGAGGAAACTAGCTTGTCTGAGCCATCCCTAATTACTGTGTCATCTGAATTAACTGATGGTAACAAAGATTCAACATTTTGTAATTCTTCAATTGGTGAGCCTATGGCCTGCCTCCTTGCAACTCCTTGCAAGGACATGGACTCCATAAATTGTCGTGATAGTTCTGCTGAAGAAATAGCTAGCTTTCAGTCAACTCCTGCTAAACTTGCTTCAACCCCGGCTGCATTGAAATCTGCAACGCCTGCATTGCGACCTCCAAAAAGGTGTTATATGAGCCCAGATGAGGATTCTTCTAGCTTAGCGGACAAGTTAGTTAGGCGACCGCCACGAGCTAGGTCCTTGAATTTTGAAACTCCTGTGAAGAATGTTAAGAATGAACTCAATGGAATGGAGAATGTATCAGCTGATAATCATGATGATGATGATGATGATGATGATATTTTGAATATCCTTCCTGAGAGTCTTCTGCAATCGGTAAGCCTATTTTGAATGTACCACTTACCATCGCTTTCATTTGCTCTATTCGCAACCTTGAAATGAATTATCTGCCCACAGATGAACAAATGCACTTGTTAGGACCAAAGCCTTCTAATCACTGTTATTATATCTTATAATACTCTCTTTACTTTGTAGATAAGAGAAAAGGAAAGAAAAGTCCAAGAAGAGCGTGATCCAGCCATCTCACTAGCAAAGAGGAGGCGACAGATGGTTGCCTGCTTGCCTAAGCTATTCAACGTGATTCATTTCTTGTTTCAGTCAATAAATCGATCAGTTATCACAAAAGAGGAGCTTATTCACAAGATAATTGCTGGTCATTCTGACATTGTTGATAGAAGTAAGCATATAATAACGAGTCAAAAACAGCAGAAAGCAGATTATTTCTTTATTTTACCAGCTTAAGCTAACCTTACCTTATTGCCTTTTTGTTCACAGGAGAAGTTGAAGAGCAGCTCAAGTTGCTGCTTGAACTTGTTCCAGAATGGATCTCTGAGAAATCAGCGTCTAGTGGGGACTTGCTCTTCTGGTTAGTCCGAGTAAAATTTATCCGTTAAATGATTGTGCTAAGGGTTTCCAATTGTAAATGAAAGTACAGATGCACCATACCTAAATTAAAATTAGGAGTTGAATGAAGCTTTTTTAAGTTTGCTTACCATTGAATTTTGGTTTTTATGCAGTATCAACAAGATGTCAAGCGCTGAAAACATACGCTCACGACTTGAAGAAGCAAAGTGACAGGAGATCTTGAAATTACTGTTGAAGCAAAGTTTATTTTGTCCCCTTTTGTTGGGCTAATCATGAATGTTCTAATTTAACTTGTATTTAGCCAATGTTCATAGCAAAGTTTAGGAATCGAGATGTCAGTAAATGTTTACTAATCTAACAGAATTGCTAGATGGTGAAAAGGCCAATCCTTTTTGTAATTGCAAAATTTCTCACATAATTATATGCAAGCATATTATGTATGATCCTTTATTTTGCAAAATAAGTGTTGGAGGGATGAAAATTGATAATTGCCAATGCTACTTGAGCCTAAATCATTGAAGCGGTTATTCTTTTGTATTAATATTATTATTTTTATGGTTCCATTAGAATCTCAGGAAATGTGCAAATTCTTACATGTTTGTTGCATGTCATAATCCTACATTTTGGAAAAAAGATCTGCATGTTTGATACTATGTTATCCAGGCAAGATTTTGCATCTTAATTTGTCAAAAACAAGGGTTGAATTTTACAACCAAGGATAGTCCTGGTATACTTTCTTTTTCTTTGTCCATTTTGCTGTGTAAAATATAATGACAAATAAAAAATGCAAGTTTAACAAACAAAGCATGAGCCTCAGCCTCATAGACCTGGAGAGATAAGTTTTCTGCAAATCCATATCTGTCCACCTGGGTAAGTTGCTCCATACGAACTTTTATTATTATCATATTCACTTATTTTTCCTAAGCATATGTTCTTTGATATCATTCCCATAATGTAGGTTTATTTCTCAAAGTCCTGCTGCGCTGCTTCTCTTCTCGCAGAAGTTTCCATCTGTGTCTGAAGATCCTTCTCCTCATCATAAGCTGGAAATGATTCATCTTTTGACTTAATCTGGTCTCCATCTCCTTCTTTGCCTAACAACAATATGTACAGTCCAATAACAATAACGGCTCCTCCCAGCAAGCTGAAGCAGATGAATTAGGTACAATCAGTATTTCTAATCAAACTGCGAAGCAGAACTTCAATTTTACCTTCCCATTCGCAGTTCTTCGCCAAAGAAAAAGTAAGCCAGAAATGCTACCAGTAATGTTGAAAGGGGAGCAAACATAGTTACAAAGACTGGTCCTTTCTGTTTTGTGCACCACAGTTGAGCAAAAACTGTTACAGCACATATAACAATTCCCTGCCATCCATCATTTTGACATCATATACTGCATTATTTGTAACTAATTGACATATTTGGATCACATGCAGTTTGACATGTACTTACAGCATATAGAATGCACCAGAAGTTGATGTCAAAACTGATATACCATGCCCCGGGTTTGTGCTGAATAAACAAGGTGAAGACAGCTGATTGTGCTCCCCCAAGAAAGTTTATCCATGCAGTCAGTGATAGTTGTGCAGGATACTTTTTCAATGTATATACCTACAAGGTAATCATCGATTAAGATCATATTTTTGGTGAATATTTTAGCAGTCATATATTTATGCGCTAACTGTTGTACTTGGATTTTGTCTGCTAAAGAGTGTTTTAATGCTTAAAACTTTAGGTATTATGGGGTTCCTGGAATGGATGCAACGCAAATTTAAAAAAAAAAATGTATTGGAAATCACAAGTTGTAGAGCTGCACACAACCACAAACACACCCACCTGCAAAATGAACCACATAGACCACGTTAAGCAGCTTGCTGCAAGTAGAAATGAACCTTTCACCCAGTTCTGTTGAACAGGATTACTTCTGATATGCATTGGGGCACCCTGCAAGCTTTGCATGAGAGGTCCCTTGTAAAAGGTGACTATTGAAGCCCCTGCCAAGGACGTTAAGGTTCCAATGATTTTAGCTATTCCGCGGAAGTTCCTTACATCAACAACCTCCAACCTACACGATATACATTTAATGTAAATGTTAAAACTAGGAGTTACAGAGTTGATTTTGGAGTCTTGAAGTCCTCACCTAAATATAATCGCAAATAGAAAAGTCATGGAAGGAATGATGTTGGTCAGTGATGTAACAAATGTAGGAGAGGTGTATTTCAAGCTTGCGAAGTACATGTTAAGCGTCAGGCTGGCCCTGGTTTTCATTAACAAGAAGAAATTGTGAGCTTTCCATTCCTTGCAAAATAGAGCGATTCTTTCCATTTTAATTGAATGAGCAGTGTCCTACTTACCCCAGAAGAGACAGCACAAATATCTCTAAAAACAAGAGAAACGTCATTTTTGGCCTCACTTTTCTGCAGGAAAAATAAAACAAAAACAAGAACCAAAATATTCAAGCATTAAGCCCTTGAAAAACAATAAATTGCTGCATATATTAAAATAGAGCGATATATTTTTGGGGTGTGTACATGTGTTACTATGTACCTTTCAAGAAAATAGGCGAAAGGAATGACAATAAGACTGCCTAAAATATATCGATAGGTTACATAGACATGGGGATTCAATCCATGCTTGAAGGCAGCTTCTGTCACAAAGTAGAGAAATGAAAAACTGATTTGAACAAAAATTAGGAGAAAATGAGGAGCAAATCTCCAATTGATAATCTTGAATGCATTTACATTTGCCATGAATATTTAATGCAGGTTTAGTCATGCTATTTAACCTCTTCTCCTTGTTTATTATAGTTGAAGCAGAGAATACATGTGCATCTATACTATTACTGTTGGATGTGGATGGGAAAAGTACTAATGTCATTATGCTCTTTGCTTGTTGTAAGAATCATGTTCTTAATGAAATTCCAACTTAGAAAGTTGAGAGCCATGCGGTGGAATGGAAATGATAAAATAACATGACACATCCACAATCTGTACATGCCTATCACTCCATCCACAATCTTTTCTTAAGTGAACTAAGATATTTTTAGTATTTGAAAGTTTCATCTTTAATAAAAGGTAGGTGCAAATGGATTTGTAAGCAAATAGTTAAATATTGTTTGACTAAATTCATACTTATGATGTTGTATGAAATGAAAATAGTTGTCCATGTTGTATGTGCATTTTGTTATGTATGCTTAAATTTTATGGACAATACATGCCTATCATTTGATTCAACTTGTAATTTTTGGTGCATTCTCCTTAACTTTGTTATTAGTGTAGCGGAGGATCTTTCACATGCTAATTCTTATAATCGTGGAAAACACTTGCTTAGAGCCGGTATATGGTATAAGCTCACCATACGTCAAGCCAATGCAATAAAGATATATGGAACAAATGTGAGCATCTGTGTCTTTTCACTGGAAAATAATGGACAAAAAGCACGTGGCTTTTTTGGATTGGCTTGGTCTATGGGTGGACTCAGACAACAATTGTAGACAAGTCGTATCGTAAAATTGCACTTCTGTATTCTTCTCTTGTTGATCTTATTGAGCTGATCTAATACCAAACCACACAAATGTTTGTGTTCTTTAATTGACCTTTTTCTTTTTCATTGTTCAGTTAGCCTTCAACTTGGGGTCCAAACTCAGCCTTCAAATATATTTTAGCTTGTCAAATGTACTTTTATCTATAACTACAGAGAGAGAGAAGTGTAGCGACAATAAGCACCATTTTGCAGGTTTGCTGAGATCAGAATAAATTATGTTCACTTTTAGCTCAGCAAATAAAGAAAGTTCGAACTTTCAAAACTTAGCAATCAACATGACTATAAGAATGTGCCTGAACCCAGACATGAAACATCTTGGCACGACAAAGAAGTTATATCGTGGCATGCTCATGAACACTGAAGTCTTTGTCCTATGCAGATGCTATATTAATGGTGCTTGTAAGAATTTCACTTCTCCTGTTGATGTTGGTTGTTCTTGATTTTATTCGATATTGCGATTGAATGTCGATCCTTATTGTACGTTATAGGGGTGACCGCCGGTGGATTTATTATGATGGGGACCGGCACAGAAGCAGTTGAACAAGGACCAATTCGAAACCTTAGGAACTAGTCCAAATTCAAATCTTTTTCACCTAAGTCTTGATTGGTCGATTCACTGAACCGAAACTGCAAGTTGAATGAACAGATCCAGTTTAGTGAACCGGACACTCCTATTATAACAGGTCAAGTTTCAAACTTTAATATTCTGTCTCCTTTAAGCATCTTCAAACAGCAATATTAAGAATGGAAGCATAAAAAATAGAATAGTTGGGTTTTAGTGGGAATCCTTAACTATTTTGCATCAAAGAGGAGAAAATGATCTAATTTTAAGCATGTTTAATTGCGTGTATTCATAAATTTTAGTAGAATCATTTAATTTTCAACTTGTGTAAGTAAAATCTCCCAACTAAGCTTTGGGTTCTTGCATTTTTTGGGAATCTCAACTACTTTTCTTCAACGTAATGGAGTTTTAAATGAGAAATTCTCTGCACTTTTCACATTATTCTAACTTTTGGCTTCTAACTGATTTCTCCATACATGCATAGTTTTCAACTTCCAATACATCCTCCTTTCGTGGGATCCACAACTTACTTCAAGGAATAATTGGGGCAGCTTGAAATTTAGGGGTCACCATTCGATTTAGATAAATTTTGAATCGAATCGAAATAAAAGCAGTCTGAATTAATCGATTTTTCAATAAAAAAATCGAACCCAACTTATTTTCGAAGGCAAAAAATCTAAACCCAAAAGAGCAATCTACATAGCAACATTGTAAAACAACAACAAAGCCATTTATCATTTAAACTTAATGATTTATTGCCACAAATTATTAGCTTAAGTGAAAAGGTTGTAACAAATTTACAATAAAATTTAAACTTAAATTATAATAAAAGACTAATATCAAATTTGCAATCCAACTTCCTCCTCTCTTTCTGTTATGCACTAGGATTAAATTGGCGGCAATTGTTTATAGTTTACACCGGTCCATTTTCTTTCATGTTAAAACTTAGGATATGCAAATAAAATTTTACAACTCCAAAGAAACATCAAACACCAAAACCTAGAAATTTTCTCCAATAAAACAAAACTATATACTATAGAAAGAGATTCCTGAGCAAGATTGGATACCATAATAATCATATAAATATATGAGAAATGAAGATTAATTAAGGAATATGAGGCAAAGAGATCAATTATTAGAATTTAGAACACCCCAACACCCTTCTTTAGGAACCAATAATTGGGGTGGTGCTTCTCCATTATTAGCAAGAAATGTACCTAAAGAATCACTTGAACAAAGATACTCAAGACTCAATACCGTTAGAACTCGGGATGAGATCTTTCCTTCTCAACATGATGATAATGGCACTTACTTCAACTTCTTCCCTAACATTTCTTCTAAGTATGAAGTTCCTAACACTCCCTGTCGTGGCCGAGTGAGAGGATTATTGTCTAGGTTGATCTTTGTAAGGAAAGAGAACACAGCTACATTGGGTTTGGATTCAAAGAAGAAGAAATGGTTCCCTAGATGGGATCCTAAAAATAGATGGCCTCAAGGTTGGTGTTAAGTTGTTAATTTAATCCTATTTTTATTTCTTTGAGTTGTTCGATTGTGGAGGATATGCCTCTGGCCAGATTTCACATGTAATAAGCTGTAAAACAAACTACCATATAGCTTGAAAGAGTGCAATGAAAAGACAAAAAAATGGAGAATGTAAAACAACTATCTAAGTTATGAGATTTATATCCAGTTGCAAAGATTTATGTATAGTTAAGTAACTTTGATTTTATCCACATTTGAAAGCCTGTGCTGTAAATTTATGGCTTTTAAGAAACTAGTGAACGTCAAGAGCGTGGGTCAAGGTCTCCAAGATGGGTATATGCTGAATCATAGTTGCTAATTGCAATTGTCATTATCTGGGAAAATCCCATTTTTTTGTCATCTCACTAAAAACTGCTAATTGCTCCAAGTTTCTTAATTCTGAGGATAGCAATCGATCATTGTTGTCCACGAAATAACCTTGGAGGCATCTGACTAAACAAAAACAAACTCCGCAGATACTACATTACTCAATTTTGCATACCCGTTAATCAAAGTATTCCGAAAAGCTGTGTTATTTTCAGGCATCGTATTAAAATTAAACAATCTCCATGCAGGCAAGAACAAGACCATAGTAGTCCAAGCAAGGACATTTCTGTCAGGCTTTTCATCAAACACCCTTTTGGATTCACTGATTCTACCCTTACTTGAACAAAAATCAACCAAAGCAGTTTGAATTGTGACTCAAAACCATGTCTCCATATGTGACCATGAACAGTTTCCCCAAATTGCATCTCAGATATTAAACTGCAGGCTTTAGTTATTGATGAAAATGTATAACTTTTAGGCAAGACTTTGTAACTCAAACACAAGTTTCTAAATTTCAAGTGCTTGAATTGGCTGATGAAATTGAACTAGCCCTTCTATGATTGAATTATATAGGCTAAAATTGGGATTTTCCATCTGGCTAAAATTGCGAAATCTATGTCAAAAGTGGAACAAACTGAGATAAATTGGTTCGTTAAGAAACAATCTTGGCTCGTAACTGTTTTGGTCTTTCTTGAAAGGTTTCAAGAAATGAAAGAAAGTTAGCTATGGTCATTATCTTTTGTCTAGAATAACTACATGTCACCAACCACATAACAAGAAAATCTCCTACCTCAAATAAAAACAACAAACAAAATGGGCCTCCCCCTTTGCCTTTCCTTTTGATATACTAGGTGCAGAGTTTTCTGTTAACAAATGAAGAAAGCAAACAGTTTTCTTTTACTTTTCTTGCTGATGCACTTTTATATGATTCTTGTCTATGCAATACAAGTTCGTGTGACCAATATGCTTGCGGAAGGAAGGCAGATCATTATACATTGTCAGTCCAAAAATGATGATCTTGGTTATGCCATTTTGGAAAAAGGCTCTGAAATTCAGTGGAGTTTCAGTGTTAATTTCTTGGGAACTACTTTATTTTACTGTGATATGCAATGGAATGACAAGCATCAGATACATTTTGATGCATTTGATGCTTCAAGAGATTACAATAGGTGCCTTACTGAATGCAGATGGTTAATTACAGAAGGAGGATCCTTAATTGGCTATAATCAAGTTTCCAAATTGTGGGAGGTATTTCCCTTTACAGTAATATCATCACTTAAAGAAGAGAAAAATAGAACTAGAGATCATACTAATTGATGTCAAGAATTATTTTCATAGTAAATACTCTTTTTCTAGTTGCTTGTATTAATTGTGATAGCAATATTTACAGATTTAGCTACGAACAACTATATTATATTACAAGGGAGACATTCAATGATTATCCAAAATATTTACTAATTGTATTTGGAAGACGATCATTGTAAGTTCAAAGTTCCAAACATGAAAAAACATTTACAAATAAGAGGGAAAAAGAAAAAAATATATATATGGAAAAAGGCCGACAAGAAAAGAAATATTGTATGTGTTCGATAACAGCTTTTTAAAACGGGTAATATGACATTTTTTATAATGTTCAGTAACATAACATTTAATTGACATTTGGAGGTTTAGCGTTTAACATTTTATGAAAAAAGCTACATAATTAACAGTTAACCGCTACTCAAACAACTAATAGCTATCAAAATAACTAATTTTGCCGTATAGACCAATTCACAAAACAACAGAAATTTTGTCATATTTTTATAGTGGCTGGCTTGATCTCAAACTCTAAAGTAATCAGTTTGAATGACTAAGACCACTAAACCCACCTTATCCTCCAAGTGGACAAATTAGATTAAGCAGCCAATCTTACCAGAATTACTTAGAGGCTAGAAAGAAAGCATTCTATACCTTCTTCTAATGGTGGGTAGAAAGTAGAAACCACTTCTTTATTACAAACAACACTTTTGAGTTTTGACTTCTCTCAACAGCTAGACTCTCACTTTGGATTTATATTGCTTGATATAGTCAATAACCTAATTAGTATTCTATTGATTCGATTTGATTTTTAACATTTTATTAAACCTTTTTAAACAAAATAACTCATTAAGGATTTGGATTGCTATTAGCTATTGGCATGAAATTAAAATATATATAAACCATGTGGAAGTCGTATTTTCACCCGTTGTGCTTAAATTATAGTTCCTATCGCGTTGTCGTATCTACTGTTCAAGTCGTATCATAAAGTGCTATGTGGGCTTACGACACATGCCTTTATTTATCTTAAAATTTGTACACATCAATGTCTCTCCCTTCTTTTTCCTTGCTAGCATAGCCATATGCTTTGGAAAAAAGGAGATTTTCTATTGGGAGAAAATAAATTTTTGTTCAAAAACATAAAAATAGAACTATTGACCTTCTTTATGGACATAATTTGTCTCCTATAGTTAGTGATAATGATAGTGGTACATATAAATATATAATTAACACCTTAATTAATTTTTCCATGGAAATGAAGGGTTGAAGAAATTAATTAGCAAGAGAAAATGCAGGTAATGTGACTAATTTGTTAATTTGATTAGGGAAAATACGTTTGCCTATCTTTAATTAGTTGATTAGTACGTGAATTCCAATTCAATCAAAATAATGATGAATCTTGCATATATTTTATTGTCCTAGTTTGGAAAGATACTTTTAATACCTAGCTAACATTCTTTTGGTGCTAATGATCATTAGATTCCCAATCTTAGATTTGTTGGGGCCACTGTTCCCTTTATTTATTTTAAAATATTAAATATTTCTCATTTTACAATTTCAATTTAATTAGTTAAAATTAACAAACTTTGATTGATATATTATATGAGAGGTTACCTGAATTCACCATTATAAAAATTTTAAAAGTGTATTCGGTAAAATTAATTATTTTCATAGTTGTTAGCTGTTTAAATAACTTTTTATAAAATATTTTATTTTTTATAAAATATTATTTTAATATGTTATTAAACACTGTAAACAATAGTGTTTAGCATTTTAACCAGTCAAAATGTTAAAAACGATTTAAAAATTATTGCCGAATGCAGTTAAAATTAAAAATTTTAAAAAAAATAAAAGAATTGAAACATCAATATCTCTAATTCCCAAAAGGATAGTTTATTTAGGTAATGGCCACTAACATCATATGTTGTCTTCCATTTTCAAGCCCATCTAAATTGACTAAGTGAGAGAGAGAGAGATCAAAGCAATACTCATGACTATGGAGACTAAGAAGTCATCTTCATGAGATTACATGTCACTAAAAAGCTAAGCTGCAAAATCTACATAGGATCATTCTGCTTCCGTATCCTCTTTTGTGACAAAGAGAGAATAAAACAAAGAGACCAACACTTAATAAATCAAATATTAATTATATCTATTATTAACCAAAAAAAAAAAAAAAAAAAAAAAAGAAAAAACTCGTTCAAGGAGTAAAATTTATTAGAGGTTGGTGACTTAATATTGGTCATATTTTGTTATATTATTCATTGTAGTGTTGA